TGTGAGAGTCACGGACAGCTCTTGCATCCTACAATTCCCACAATGCAAGGTAGTCAGAGTGTAGGGTTTGGTTGAGTGTAAAATACCAGCAAAGACAAAATTATTTTCTGATTTATACAAAGCTCAAAAACATCAGCAAGGGTTTGAGCTTCCGCCCGAGAAAGCATCATACCAAAAACAAGAAATCCGTAAAGACTTGAGGAAAAATAATCATTGATGCTCACAGCATTTTCAAGTGTCAGAACATGGGTAGGAAGTGAAACATCTCAAAGACTCCGGAAGGTAAAGTAGTAAGAGATGTCCCTAAAGACCCCAGAACTGCCAAGTCAGGACTTGTAGTCTCAAAGAAGACAGTCACCAGAGCTCTGCACAAGAATGGACCGCGAGGTTGCAGACCAAGAAAATAACTCCACTTCTGCAGAAGAGACACCTTCAACCCAGACTGAAGTACACCAAGGACACCGTCTGCACCGTGAAATACGGTGGTGGGAGTATTATGTTGCGGGGATGTTTAAGTAAATCTGGAACTGGGAGTCCCCTCAAGATTTTGCAGAGAAATCATCAACCAATGAGCAGAAAACGTGTTTCTGGGCCATTACTACCTCCAGAACACTAAAGTGAACGTTACCGACCGGCCTGCAGAAAGCCGTCAAATCAGCATTTGGGAAATAATAATTTTCATGGAGAGGATAATTGTTCTGAGTTTACGTTCACCTTGCTAGGACTGAACCATCTAACCTTCCTACCCGCCTTAACTCTTCGTGTCATAGATTTAACAAGGCGCCGGAAACATTCCTCTGAGACTTTGGTCCACTGGGATGATAGCATCGCACGGTGTCTGCAGATTTATTGGCTGCACATCTGTGATGTGAATCTGCTGTTCCACCACATCTCAAACAGAAGATAAGACTTTATTGGTTCCACACAGAGCGGATTTACTTCTGGAGATTTCTGGTAAGAAAATGTAGCACATGAGTGTGTTAAAATTTAATAAAGAAAACGGTAGCAATCATGCACAGAAAGAAATAGACCACACACAACAGGCAGCAAGAACTGCTACCAAGTATTTGCAGTGCCTGGTAATGAGTGTCTCACTGTGGAGGAATTTAGGCCCACTTTTAATCACAGAATTGTTTTAATTCCACCACTGGAGCTTTTTCATGCCAAAGCATCGTGATTTGATTTAAGTTTTGACTTTGAGCCATTCAGAGCCATCCAAGAGTCGTGTATGAGCTCTTGGAGTAATTTTAAAAGGCTGATCACTCCTGGGAAGGTTCAGCGTAGTTCCAAGTTCTCTCCGTTTTTAGATGTCAGTGAACTTTGTCACTTAGGTGTTTCTTTACATCAGAGCGCGGTGTGTTGCATTGAGATTATTTTAGTCTACTTCACTTTGTCAGACAGATTCTGTTTAAGTGATTTTTTTGGTTAGTGTAGTAACGTTGAACTCGGCTTTCCCCCCCAAAAAACGTTTCTAATTCATGACTCCATCCATCTAAAGTGAAGGTAAAAGTGAAGGCAGACACACTTATCCTCTTCTTCTTCCTGTGGCGTCTGCACATTCCCCTCACAGGGAAATGTACCACAATTGCATGCATGACAAGACAGAACAGGACTTGGCATGACTCTGCTTCTGCTCATATGATTAAAAGCTCACACTGAGCAGATCATGCCGAGTACTACGCAGGAATAAACAGAGTAAGATCACCTATCAGTCACTGCTGCGTGACCAATACGTTCTTTGTCTTGATTTCAGAAGTAGAAGAAGCTGCATTATATGTGAGGTGATGTAACTACAGACTTTGCCCCAAGGAAGCAAAAATAAACCACCAGCATAACGACTGAGCGAGCCGACAGCTCTGGAAACTCTGCAGGCTTGTGCAAAAGGGTTAAAACGTGCTGGAGGTGGAAGGTTTCCCCAAGTTTCACATGATGATGTGTGATAATTATGTGAAAGAAAAATCAGAGTGGTAGCAGTCAGCATTGAACTTTCTAAAGTGGAGGTTGAAGCCTCGTGAACGTGAATATTCTGTATTTTTATAGAGAAGAAAAGACACAGAAACCTTCAAAGTCAAGACATCTGTGTCGCAACATAAAACAATCTTTCTAAAGATATTGTTTTATGACTTGTAATTAATCACAGCACCGTGTGGCTTGAGGCGCTCTTCATTTCTTTATCCGTTGGTAGAAAAATGTGAGGGAAAGTTAATGAAACGTGTAAAGACATACATGGAAATAAAGGATGTAAGACAACTTCTTTAAGTAGTCTTCGGGAAACGTTCTCCAGGCTTCTTGAAGGACATTCAGAGCTCTTCTTTGGATGTTGGCTGCCTTTTGTTCTGTTCTCTGTCAATGTGATTGCCACACTGCCTCAATAATGTTGAGGTCCAGGCTCTGGAGGAGGCCAATCCATGACTGATAGTGCTCCATTGTGTGCCTGTGTTTTTTTAAAATATGTTTTTATTGTGTCTTTGGGATCAATGTGATGCTGAAGAATGAAGCCATTGCCAATCAGATGCTTTCCAGATGGTATTGGATGGTGGATTAAAATCTCACGGTACTTTTCTGGGTTCATAATTAGATTCATCTCTCCATCAGGTCTGATTTTCAGTCCAGGTCTTGTGTAATTAGGCACACCTCAACCTTTGCTCCCCATTTTTCTTCCACTGAGACCATTTCCGATGAGGCTCCATTGAGGAGTAAATGGATCAGCTGAAGGAGCGGAGGCACCTCACAGGTCCTGTGTCAGCTCTTTGTTGTTTCTTTCCCCATATCTCTTAACAACAAGACTTTGAGATGCTGATCATTTGCTGTAGATTGTTTTTAGACCCTTCACTTCTTCTGTTCTCCATTTGTGCAATTTTAAGGACACACTTTACACTGTGCCAAGATGTGCCAAATTTTGGGTTAACAGCTGTTTGGGATTGACCTAGTTGTCCAAAAATACTATTTCATCATTTTGTCAGACTCTGTTAACATTTTCTGTAAATCCAGCCAAAGAAATTTGAACAAATTGTGTGTTTTTGCAGCAGGGTGCTATAGCAACAAAGAGCCTAAAGACACAATTTAATTTTTTTGTTTAGTTTTCTGTTATGTGCAGATACAGCACTGGTTCATCCCTTGGGTTAGGTGACATTTTATGCTTGAAGGATTCACAGATCAGTGTTAAGGGGTCCTAATAAATGACTGGACTAAAAACAAGTGAAAAAAGGAAGCAATGTCCAAAGACAAAGTTGGATGATCTTCAGAAAGCCAGGAGAACCTGCAAGAAATTACAAGAAAATGTGTCTGTTTGGAAGCAAAATATGCAGATATGAAGGATGGCTCAGGACTTTTTCACAGTAAAAATGAATTTATTGACATTGTTTCTTGTTCAAGAAGATTTCAGATTTGTTACCAGATCAAAGTCTAAAAGTCTAAAAAAAGAAAACAGAAAAATAAAGTGTTAATAATGAATTTCACAGTTCTCTGTAATATGTTGTGTGCTGAGTCAGATGTAGTTTAATTAGATGTGGGGATCTTAAAG